CCGAAACGAAACACAGTGAGCGAAACCGATCACCAATTGAACAACTTCGGATCACACAAATTGCAGCGAAGAGTCTCTGGTGACCACTCAAAAGCATTCTTAGTTTCAAACAATGGTTTTCAGAAGAACAACAGTAAGATATGGATATGAATATTTTGACAACAACATATGGATCAAGTCATCCCAAACACCGAGCGGTGCAGCGGCATCCGCGGAGAACTCACTGGGGATCTCGAGCGGCAACGATTGGCCTCCAAATGCCAGTTCCGACGGAATGTGTGGAAAAAAGGTTCTGTGGGAAGGTTGCGCCTGGGGAGTTGACATTGCGAAACCTCAGTCCATTGCACGTTTCCTTCCGTACGTGGTGGTGGAAAACGATCGGGACCAGGCCTTGAAATCAAACAAAGTCAGCCAGCCCCTGCAGAGCACACATTGACATGTGGTGACCAAATTTGTGGTTTGTTGGCCACGCCTTCTTCGATTCTTTGCTCTGAGCAGAAGAGCCGGGGCCAAAAACAAAAGCCAAATGGCTATGTTCCCGGCCGGCGAGTGGACGAATCCGAAAACCACTGGAAACGGAAAAACGATGTACCTAGAACCCGTTCCGATTGTGCCAAACACATACATTAAAAAAGTTGTCGCTGTGGCTGCAACAGGGACTGTGGGAACCACAAATTATTATCTAGGGTGGGCAATGCTGCTGCGCACAATTATTCCAAATTTGTTTTCAGCTATTAACCATAGCAACCACAAAAGGCAATGCTACTTTCAGCCAGTGGCTGTAACCATAGCAGCTGCAGTCGGCAATACTACTTCACCATTGCAAGTTATCAGCTTCTGTCAAGTTATCAGCCTTTATAGCATGTGGCCACATGCCAAAACCCTAGATACAAAACAAACCCCCAGATAGCAGGAACAAAAAATATGAACATCATGAACATCTTTCCCTTTAGCAGCCACAAACCCCAACTATTTATATAATTTGCTGTTCTCATATTTCTGTTGGCCAGGTTCCAGGACGAGGCAAGCCCGCACGTCTTGCCTTTTGCAATGCCCGATCTGCTGGTGAAAGTTATTTGTAGCCTCATGCTTCGACGGGGCGCGCGTCCTCTGAGGAAGATAACGGGGCCCTTGAGCCAGCATCGAAGCGTGCGGCTGGCTGCTGAGGAAGGGAGCCGTTGCTTCGACGGTGCACAAGTGTTAAGGCGAAGACATGGCGGTCCCTGCATCTTGTCGGCCCAGGGGCCAGTCGCGCTTCCTCTTTTGAAGAAGACTTGCTTCCACTTAGTGGTATTGTAGTATTTTTTTTGGGCCTTGGACGAGAAAGCCTTTCAACAAAAGGGGTGAGAACACGAGAATGCTAAATAGTGCACATTTGAAATCGAAGAAAAATGAATATGGTTACAATTGAGGATAAAACCTGTGTGCCTCATACAATTGAAACCATGCTTGTTAAACCTATTTGAGTATGGGCCATGCGTGGAGTTGTAACAATCAAACTTTTTTTATTGGAAATGAAATTACAACCAACACTATTTTCTTATGGAACAAAAATAGCTTCAATGCATTTCACACGAGTTTTGTTCTTTTGGTGCACGAGGTTTGCAAATTGCTGGGGCCACTGGTAGGTTACCTGATTTGAATGGACCTGGGCAAAAGCAGCCATTGGAGGGGTGCGAATGAAGTTTGATGGCGATAATATATAATGCTATCAGTAAAAAGGTTGAAGTCACTCAGGCCTTTGGAGTTGTGCTTTTCCTCTCCCCTGCCTCTGGAGTGGCAATGGACCTTCCTACAGCACATAACCAGCCAAGTTCCATGTTTAGAGGATCTATCAGCATGATACGTTGTTGTTATTTTGATGGATGCATCTTATGAGGTTGAGGGGCATCGATGAGATGGCATTTGATTTAAAAACGGCCAAGTGAGAGTGACCATACTTTCCATTGTCATTGCCACATACAAAGGAAGAGCATTCGGAAACCGCGCGAGTGATCCCAAGGCTGATTCTTCTTGCGTGCAAAACTTTGTGGCCGAAGCAGCCTCCAAATGCCAAAATTGCAAAGCAGTCAAGTGGCCGAAGCAGCCACCACTGACCCAAAGCCGAAGCAGCCATGCTTAGTCCTCCTGCGCCATTGGATCCCAGATTGCATCTTCTTCCTCCTCATCTTCCTGCGCTCGGTGCTCCCTCTCCTTCCTCCTCTGGCACAGGCGCTGGCTTTGGTTTTGCTTTGCTCGTACCCTGGCACTTCGGCTCTGCTTTTGCTTTTCCTTCGCCCTTCGGCGTCGGTTTTGGCTTGGGCTTGGGCTTAGCCTGTGGCGCAGGCTCAGGCGTTGCTGCTGTCTGGACCCCCACAGCTTCACTGTAGGCTGCGCTGAAAAAAGGGGAGGTTGAGTCCCGCGATTGTATGCCATGCCGACATACTCGATGCGGTTCCGCAAAGCTGCGTAGGCAAAACGAGCGTCAAGCGGTGTCAGGTCGAACACCATTTTTGCGTAAAAACAATGGAGCAGCTCTTCGTAAAGCTCCAAGGGTGGGCTGTGGAAGGACACTGGCTCCTTCGCGTTGCTCGCTCGGTCGTTTGGCTTCTCTTCATCCTTATGTTCAGTCTTGCCACCACCAAAAGTTGATGCTTTTTACCCAAAAGTTCTTTTTTTGTTTTCCAGTCAAGCTGCCATTCCTCTGCCCCAGATGGCATCTTCACATTGGTGATCAGATCGCCTGTGGTCGACCCATCGAAGTGCTTCCGGCCCTGCTGGGAAGGGTCAACTTTTTGGCGCTCACACATGCAAAGCGGCCGAAGCAGCCGCTGAGTGGCCACAGAGGCCGCTAAATTGATCCAAGACTGAAGACAAGGAAAATTCAGAAGTAGTCTTTGTATGGACAGGACATTCCGTCTGGTCCTTAGGAGGTTCAAGGACGTCCCCGAGGCTCGGTTGGAGAGGACAAACACGGGGCAAAGCCTTGTAGAACAGTACCACTTAAGGGGATTGCAGTTTCCACCCCCCCTTCGCCCTCTCCTTAGGAGGTTCAAGGACGTCCCCGAGGCTCGGTTGGACAGGACAATTCGTCCTGTTGATAGGAGACTGTCTCTTTTAGAAAGGTGATTGTTCCCAGTTCCCAACTAAAATTCCTGTGGTGGACAATGTTCCAACTAGCCACACAACCCGATCAAAGCTTCAAACCCTTAAACTTTTTCAGCAGACTGTCAGTCAGAAATCTCGTGGCTAAGTATGGCCGAAGCCGCCATGCTTGGCCGCAGCAGCCAGGCAGTAAGAGTTCCTAGAAAGGTCTTTCAGCAGTGGCCGCTTCTGGATGAGGCAGGAAAGGTTTTGAGCGCAAGGCCATTGTTTCCTGAACTAGGTGGTGGACCAGGGCATGTTGTCGCAACTTCCTCCAGAAACAAAGCCGCCGCTGCAAATTCCTTCTCTGTTATTTCATTGACCTGCATCCGTTCTGGGTTCTGCGGAAGACAGTGGAAGAGCAAAGACCAGATGCTCATCTGGCTGTTGATCCCATGGCAGGATACGGATGGTGGTGAGCAAGTCCAAGCTGACTTGAACCTCGTCCTTATGCCTTGGCTTCATGTACGGATTCATATTTGTGCGATGTATTACTGGATGACTCAGATGGTCAAATCAATGCAGCGAGATCACCTTGGCAGTTGGTGCATGCGTGCGCGTATGATCAGACGGTTCTCCGATGATGATGATGATGATGATGATGATGCGAACATCACTATGCCTGACTATGAGGAGCTGGCGGCAAGATCAGCGTTGTTGGCACCGGGCAGCAAAGAGGACGCAAGAGAATCTCTTCGCATCGTTGCAAGAGCAGAGCAGGCTGCGACAGAATCACAGGGGAAGACGCAAGAAGTGATGGAAACCGTGGAGCAGATGGACAGGCTGCGGTTGGCGGCTACAGTGGGAGCGGGAAGCACGGTGGCTGAGAATGTGGCGGCTGGAAGCTTTTCGGCTGAAGCTGATGCTGAGATGTAAGAAAATGAAGTGGAAAGGAGGCGACATCTTGACTGTAGGCTTGACGAAGTCAGCAATCCAGAGGAATGGAAGGACTGCCATCATTGGAGCCGTTCAAGCTCATGAAATTTTCAATGTTTGCCCAAAAGGGACGGCTGAACAGAAATCATGATTTCTGAGGCGGGGTGTCAGAGATTAGCGTGACCCCTCCACAAGAATGATGCGCGCAAGAAGGTGACATGTATACATGAGTGATGACTCGCTGTACAAGTGGCACAAGGATGTAAAAGAGCGTGACTCTTTATATGGTCAAGAGGAAAAACCAGTGTATTCTTCCTTCCTTTTCTTTCTTCTCCTTCTTCTTCTTCTTCTTCTTCTTCTTCTTCTTCTTCTTCTTCTTCTTCTTCTTCTTCTTCTTCTTCTTCTCTCCTCTGTTTTTTGTCAAGTCCTTTTTTTGACAAAAGCTTAGAGCAAGAGTAATTTCAGTTGCACCTTGACGTTTTAACACAAAAACTGGAAGCTTTGCCGTCGCAGCCGCGCCTGCGCGGGTCGGGTGGGGCAAGCAGCTGTCAGCATTGCTTGACTGGAGGATCCTGGCGCCGCAAGGCCCAAGGCAGGCGTTTGAAACCAGCTTGAGCTACATAATCTTGTCGAGTCGGCTACACGTTTTCCCCCATTAAACGCTGCGACGTATCCTCGTTCTGACAGGGATCGTTTGCGGCGCGGGGCCTAGTTGCGGCGTCGCTGCAAACATGTGCGCAAATCTCCTTCTCCTCTGCCACGCGCAGGTGGATTTGGTGGAGGCAGCTGTTCCCGCATTCTTTCAGCAAAGCTCATGTCCCCAAAGCAGTCCCATCAAACCACCCCAATGTAGGTAAATATACCGTATACCATACATGGAGTGCCTGGGGATGCTTCCCTTGACCGCTCTTCAACATTCTTCAACTACCCGCATATGCTCGCACCATGGAGTGTCAGGAAGGATTTGGAAACGCCCCAAAGCTTCGGCCTGACAAGAGCAGGTGATCGCTGGGACTCCACGCCCGACTCCACGCTTGGGTGCCTTTGCCGTTCGGTGGATTTGAGGCAGTTCTTGTTTTAACCAGGGCTGGAGTCTGGAGTCAGATCGGAGATAGCTTAGGAGTACTGAGTTCAATCGAGTACAGTATAACGTGTGGATATGGTTTGGTTCGATATTGACGGACTATTTTTTTTGGAGGTGTTTGTTGTTTTGAGCACACCCTATCCTTCTTGCATCTTCTTGCAGTGGGAAAGATTGGATGTGTGCTTCATTCGGCAAAATGCGCGGTGGTCGACGTGGGACATGTTGTTTTTCGGATCAGAACACGCTGAAGGAGATGTTCTTCCTTGTGCAACTTCCAATGAAGATTCAGCTTGGCAATTTCCGAGTTGCAGACCCAGATCTGCCAGATGAAGGAAGTCGGGGGGCAGTGTAGATCACCTATACACTCGGGAAATTTAATATGGAACTTCAAAGCGGACGTTTGGAAAACGATTTTCCACTATTTCCATGTTTATTTTCTAGGGCATATACCATAGGTCCATAGGTCAGGTAGGTCAGGTGGTTTCTTTGCACCTTCTCGCCAGCATATTGGCAGGTTAGAGCTCTTTCCGTGCGAGAAAGACGATGTGGAACCGGTGAAGAAGGATACGAAGGACAAGGACTCACAGGTCTCCAGTACCTGGATCGCACAACTGGGAGTGGTTTGGCAGCTTCATGCAGCTTCTATGTTGCCTTCAGAGTCCAAAGTATTGATGGTTGGGGTGGGTTTCGAAGGTCTTCATGCATGGTCCAACTACCTGTTGAGGATGTGGGACAGGAACCCGAAAAAAGGGTTGCCACAGTTCACGGACCACAAATGGATGCCTGGTGTTCACTTGGAAGAGTCATGAAGAGTCGCTGCCCTCGGAAGATTGAACTTTGAAGAGTCGCCGTCGTCGGAGCGTTGGGAAAACGACCGAATCCTCCAGATGAACAGGCGCAGTACTCGCAGTAATTATACGGACTTACCGGAAAAATTGGAGATTGCTCGGTTTGACGTGTTTTTCAGGTGTGAAAGGTTGCACATATGTTTCATTATTTTTCCATTGTTTATCCAGAGCCAAGAGGAGACCGTTGCCAGGAATTGTAGTTCGAACATCCTTGGAGTGACCGACAAACGCATCCAGACACATCAACCACGGCTTCGACAATTCCATACGATGTGGTCCGTGTACTGGCATAGGCCACGGTGCAACTGAGGTTCTCAGCAACAGCTCATCCAGTTGTTACAGCAACAACAGCAGCAGCTTTCAGAGCAGTTGCGGCTCCAAAGGCGCTTTCAGGGCATGCGACGCAGGGCATGGAGGGCTTTTGCATGGCATGAGGGGTGTTTTGGCATGGACGGTGTTTTGCATGGACTCGGGGAGATATGAGGAGCTTCAAGAGAAGCGGCCCCCAAACCGCAAGATTTGACTTTCCTCGTTGACCTAGACAGCCTGTACATGTCTAAGACCTGACATTTTGCTCGATCTTCGTTTGTTCCGATGTGTTTTTCCGGTTTTCGGGGAACGCCACGGAGCATCGCAGGGAGCTGCAGCAGCACTGGCGCCTGGCATCCTCTCCGTGGCGCAATTCGCTTGGGATGTCCTCCCGTGCGTCGCCTCGTCCGCTGCGGAGAGCCCAGTCACAAGGTGCGGCCGGTGGAGCACTGTGCGGCTGTAAGTGTAGGGCTTGCCAGTTACAAGCAGGAGCCAAGACATGAATAGTCTGAATAGTCATAAGTTGTGCACAAGTGCTAGTGGAAGGGTGGGTGGGTGGGTGGGTGGGTTCCCAATCTCTACTTCATTGATCTTGTACAATTACGGCACGTTTGCAATTGGTTTTGAAGCAGCAAATGCGGGTTAAGTTATATACTTTTTTTGATGGCGGCCTTGGAAGTAAACTTGCTCAATGAGGCCCTGAACCCAAATCCCTTCTGAAAAGGTATCCGCGAGCCCTGGGGATTATGTTTATAAAGATCTATAAAGAAACAAACATATGTTTATATATACACATATATCATATATAATATATGGACATATGATATGTGCACACATAGTTGCATGAGTTCAGTTCCTGAAGCCCAAGCCTCGGACTCCACAGTGACTTTGCCAGGTTCCGAAGCCAGGCGCTCAACTGCGGAGCTCGCAGTTGAAGCCGGTCCACGGAAGGCGCTGTATGAGTGTCGAGCGGTCAGGGAATAGATGTGCTGGGTGTGTTCGAGGGATTTTCAGGGACTGTTGAACTGTGGATCAGCGTCAAAGCAGCATCAGTTGATGGTAATCATCGTTCATGTTCCATTGGGCATGGAAGTTTGAGAGGGGGTTCTGTTTATTTAGTTCGACGCAGACCCTGTTTAACTTGCATGGTGTTCAACAGACTCGGGGTTCTAAGATTCTTGGCAACATGGGTTCATGTTTGTCACTGGGCACTTTCCAGAATGTATTGGTGTTTGTTGACCAAATCGAAAAAATCACTCATGACTCATGCTATGTAGTAAAGGAACCTTGTCATGACCATTTGGTGGGAAAGGAGCTCCACAAACATAGGTCCCGGAAGTCTTTGCCGCTGTCAATAAAACCACATCGTCAATTTGGGGCCAAACACATACAACATGCCAAAACAATCCAACACATAATCCATTGGGAAAAATAACAAGTGGCATGTGTTTATAACTCATGGGGAATAGATATAGTATTTAACTATATATATATATTTTTATATGTTTGTTATGTTTTTTAATTTGCACCAAATGCAATTAAAACAGCAACACTTGTTTTAGGCAACATAAGTATTGGATGTCGATGTGGTTTTTAAACATTGCGTATTTATGTTCAATCATTGTAGTGTTTTAAGTAGGTGTTTCACCCGTACGCAAATCTATTTTTTGGGGCAGTAGGGTTAAATTGTTGAGGTAAATCTAGCACTGAACATGATTTGCGGTGACTCAACGGTACCGTGTGGGGGAAGGTAGAGTATTTCATGATAACCCCCGAGAAATCTCCAGGCATTTGTTGAATTGTCGTCCACCTTGTTCATGTCTTCTTACAGTCCCTTCTAGATGAGAATGAGTTCCGTTGCATTCCGTTACGAATCAAACCCATTGGCAGCCATGAACTCGGCTGAGTAGGTCCAGGTTGTGTTCTGTTTAGTTGATCTTCCAAACGAAGAACTCCCAGGCTACGTATAACAAGTACTCCAATTACAGAGTACAGAACTAACTACAGTCTCCACACTGATTGTTTCATAGAAAACCCTCCCAACAACTAGAGCAACCCACAACATATCACTCAATCTACCATGTGTGCTGACATGACATTTGTCCTTCCCATTTGAAGAGCAGCGGCAACTGGTGACCCATTGAATCGATGGCCAAGGCACAGCAAATGACGAGTAGTGCCACCGTGAGCCGTGGCTCGACTACTGGTGCACCACGAACGGGTGCCCGATGGTCTTCGTCCTCCTTGGTCAGCGATGGAGGTGCAGCGCCTAAGGAGTTAGCCTGTAGTGCGGTGATAGCACCTCAACAGAATCGTTCCCAGCGCACTTGATAAGTGCCTGAGGGCCTGATCATCTTGACAGTTCCTTGCCATGTTCTTTTGGAATCTAGAGTGAGAGGGGATATCCCAACAACTCGATTTGATCCATGTTTCTGCAAGGCCGGGACGGCCGGGACCCTTCCAGTTTGCTAGATATGAAGCCGAAAACAGCATGATGACTGGGTCAGCTCGAGCTTCGATGTCTCGTCTCGAGACTGTCTCGTCGTCGGCTCCATAGACCGCTCCACGTAGGTCCAAAGGTCGGCGGCCAACCAGTCCGGCTCTCAGAAGCGGTTCATGAGCGATGTCCGAAAGTCTCCGCGGTTCATGTGAGCCACAACTGTATATTATTCTTACTACATTATATTGCATGTTCCAAAGTTACTTCTCCCTCCGTTCAGGTTGACAAGTGTCGTTTCTCTTTTTGGGGGTGGTCATGTTTGGTGCGTGAAGATCCATGTCAGTTACGAGTCTAAGTGAGACAAAGCCTTCCTGTGAAAGCCGGCCAGCTAGCCAGGTCCATCCAGGTCCAATTAACTAAGCAGACTTGACAGCATTCAACCAACAAGAGGAGGGACCTTTGAACATATCGTGAACAAATTTGGACCACGGCTTGCTTCAAGCACCACTGCCAAAAAGCCATAAAGAAACTTCATCCTTTTCCATCGCATAACCACCACCCAGCGAGGCATCTTTGTTTAGATGAAGACGGCGACTTCCCGGGGGCCGTGTTGGTCCTTCCCGACCTCCGTTTCTACAGGTCGCGGCCGCGGCGCGGCCCAGCCTTCACAGCCACGTGCCGTGCCACCGATTGTACAGAGTGATCACCAGGCACCGAGTGCCACGCCGCGCGTGGCGTCTGGCACCGGTCGTTGACGTCGCTGTTAGACCTCAGAGAGTTGGTCCAAGGTTTGGGTCGGTGGGTTTGCACCGGTTTTGGTCCTTGGTTTGGGTCAATGCTGGTGCAAAAAGTACAGAAAAGATGGCTGCCAGTCTTTTGGAAGTCACAGGTGCATGTTCCATCATCTTCCAACCATATGCAAGTTGAATCAAGTTGATGATGTTTGATGCTTCCTGATGGTTGATGGGTCTATCCAAAATGGAGGAAAGTTCACTGATCTCGTCGGCACTTGGAGAAGTATTTTCTTCAATAACATCCCTCGAGACTCGAATGGGGCAATTTCCCAAAAAGGAAAGTTGAATATCAGACTTTTGCTCCAAACTTATCTTTGCCAGGAGTTCGGAGGGGAGGAGTTCTTATTTCAACTCATGTATCAGCTTACTGAATCGGATGTGATCAGCGATCTCCGCCCCCCTTTTCTTCTCGGACGGGGATCGCACCGCTGGCGGCCGATCTGGTCGACCAGCGTCTGGCCGGACACTTCTTCTAATCGCTTTGATTGGCTCCGGATTTGAAGCTCCCGGTCCTTATTGTGTTATTAGGTTGGAGGCCATGGCTATTAGGGTGGAGGCCATTGCTTGTAGGTTGGAGGTGATTGATATCGCTATGAAGATGCGCCCTAATAAGTGCTGACATGTGTTGACTTGAGCCCCGGCTGACCACATGGGCGGTTTTCGAGTCCTCACAAGTCTTGCCGCAAGTCTTGCACACATGTGTTGGCCAACCGCCCCAAACAAATGACTTGCTGTTCAATCATCATCTGTTTGATATTAAATGTGTGTGTGTGTGTGTTTTCAATAAAGCCCGAAGATGATGCGTGTTCGTATGTGTTGCTTCAGGATGGATCGGCCATCCGAATCGATCGAGCCAGCTTCGCATGGGTCACAGCGAATCACAATTCTTCACCCTACTTGTACCCAGCCACTAGATACCCTTTAACCTTTTTTGGGGCATTGGTTTTCCCCACTCTTTACACAAACATGGTGAAAAGAAGGGATGAACAAGGACCATCGTGAACCTTTTGTTTTCCCGCCCAAGGCCTATCCAGGTTAATCCAGGTCCGATCCTCGTCTTTGCACGTTGCGCGTCTCTTCAGGGGGCTTGGCATCCGCGCTGGCCCGGTTCCGAGGACGTCCAAGGTTTGGAGGGATGTGGACCCTTTTCATGTGGAACCAATTGGTTGATTTACAGTACAGGAATGGCACCCTGTATAATTTGATGGCCATCAGCAAGTGTTATGGGCCCTAAACATCAGCAAGTGTGGGTTAAAGCACACTTCCTGAGTTTGGGATGAGCAAACAGCAAAAACAAGTGGTTAGATTGCCCATCATATCTTTGTGTCTCACGCGCTTTAGGCAAGTGCATGATTGATGGGGTGTCCGGGGGTGTCAGCAATAGCAACGGACCTGCAGGTTTGGTCTTTTGAATTTCCTGGTCCTCCAGACTGCTCCAGGGAACTTGCAAAGGCTGGCAGGGTAGTTGGGTAGTCTACAAACCCTTTCAACATCTTTTAACCCTTTGATAGTCATTCTCAGGTAGAACTGGTACACCAACAGAACATCGAACAGCGCTCGGTACATCGAACAGCGCTCGAGAGAGACTCCTTTTTGCGTCGCCTCGGAAAGAAAAAAAACCACGGGGGCTCCCAGAAGTTTTCCTCTATGTCTATATACTGTTATTTTTTATAAAATGGAACGAATCCATCGGGAAAAAGGCCATGGGATCGTCAAAAAGACAATAGACATATCCCATTCTTCCCAATCAATCGCTTCCTTTGCGCGAACTCCTTTTGTTCTTCGTTCCCGAGGCCCCAACGTGAACGCGCCGCGCACGGGCGACGTCCTAAAACGGGGCGATGTCTTTGAAGCGTCGGTGGTGGCGCGAGGAGAGGGAAGTCGATGAAGATGGGCAGGTGAAGATATTGCCACTGAGTGGAAGCGAAAGTTCACTGGAAGAAACAACGTTCTGAACATGAGCCTCCCTAAGAGAGTCCAACGGGGAGACATTATTCAATGTTAGACGAGTAGTTGGCTGGGCGGGCGTATATAGACGGCCGGAGCATTTTGAGCACTTTCTTGCGAAATCCGTGTGGTATTTACAGCACTTTTTGTGAGTGCGCGGGGCCACTGGGGAGAGCGTTGAATTGGCAAGGAGCGTTTTTCTGTGGTATTGTGCATGTTTTTGGTATCGGCGCCTGTAAGGGGCCGTGCGTTTCAGGCGTTGTTTAACTTCACATGCGTTCACATGCATGCTTTCACATGCGTTCATGGGGGGGGTGGGGGGGGGCGGTAATGACGTATGTGTATGTGACATGCTTGTACACGTGGCGCTTGCGCTCAAGCAATATATCCCCTCCAGCCTCAACAGAAAAGTGAAGAAGGATGGAAGAAGTGCTTTGAATCCAAGAATCGAAGCACTGCTGTACCAATGCGTGTGGCGGGCGCACGTGATACGAAGTTTCTCCGCTGACGAGGTACTTGTACAGATTAGTGCCTTGTTCTGACGCACGGGGCGCGGACAAACGGACGCAAAGTAGTCTTTCCGAACCAAAAATAACAGGACTTCATACTTGCGATATATCCACAAACCCTAGCCCCAATGGAATTTCAATAAAAATACGCCTGCAACTCATGCAGATGGCCACAAAACACCACGGCCATCTACACACGCCGGACCGAGTAGTTAGACTCAGTTAGACGCTATCATTGGCAAGTTCAACAAGTCATGCTGGTTGATGTTCCAAACATGTGAGGCAGTAACATTTCTCTACTCAGGAAGTGGTCTTGGGTGGCCCCTTTTTTTGGAAAAGGTCGCGGAGCCTTGGTAAGCCGATATGGAGCGAAAAAAACGATAAGGTCCCCATACTGCACAGTTGGTTACAGTAGTCTTCAATTAAAAGCAACACCACCAGGAGAATTTACAGGAGAGAGAAACCGTTTGCACTTATCACTTGCCACTATCCTGGAGGTGGGGCTTGCACACAGGCAGGAGAAACTCCGCCGCCGCAGCCGTCGGTTTTGCACGTCCATGGTAAAGAATGGTAAAGACCAAATCCACGAAAACAGCGGATTCTGTGGATGTTCTCCGTGTTTTTGGGCCAGGAGCTGATGGTCGAACCTACCTGAAGCTTGCTGGTTGGTCGGGGGCCTCGAACGTTCGACCCTGGGCGGACCTGCGGCTTCTATCGTGTTCCATCAGCTCTCGAGGACTTGGTGCTACCAAGATGGTGGTCTTATGTGGTCTTGGTTCTGTACAGATACGATACTGTCTCCTATCCAATGGATCCAGTGCCATCCAGTTACTGTAGTCGACTATATAATAGTAACACTATGTACCACTAGTGGTTCCAAAGAGTGAAACCATAGACCGAACGAGGGCCCTGGAATCCTTATATCAAAGAATGGCTGCCCACTTTCATCCACTCGGCTAAGACTCATTTTTCACGAAAGCTAGCACCAGCTAGCTGGAGTTGTCCTTGCTTTAGCAAGTGAGGGGCTGGAATCCTCGGGATCGCCGCGTCACGTGAAAACTTCATATGTAGGGGGGGGCCCCCCCCCCCCCCCGTGGGTTCAACTCCTCCCTCGAACGCCTCTGGGACACCCCTCGGGCATCTCTTATGGCATCCACTTTGGCTTAACTCCTCCGGTATACGGTGCAACAGATTCAACAAGCTCACATGTTCATGACATCGACATCGATAGAAGAACCAAAAAAATCATGCAAGCAGCTTTGTTTTGCCTCTGGGACACCTCTTGGGCACCTCTATGGCATCCACACTGGTTCAACAACTCCGTGGAGGTTTGGGGATACGGTGCAACAGATTCAACAAGCTCACAGGTTCGTGAACACATCGGATGCATCGAACAGTGTGGCAAAGTCCAGCCACGCTTCCTTAATTATCGGGGACTTCAATTCTAAGGTTGGCTGTGTCATTGCTGTTTGTGTGTCTTACATGTTCACAACGTTTTACCTCATGAGCATTTGCCTCACTCCGCTTGATGTCCCACCAGTCCGGATGCACCCCTGCTAGCTTTCGTCACCTACCCTCGGCCTCCAGTAGTACACTCTTTGACGGTGCCCTTTTTGACCCACGACCCACACGCCACGACCCAGGCGTGGTTGGGCCTTTGATGATTCAGCAGTGGATCCCACGGTGCGGGAGCACGGAAACGAGAAGCGCGAGGGAATGGAACAGCTGGGAGCGGTTACTTGTTCAATAGTTGAAACGGAATGCCTTTCCCCTGGTCCAGCTCCATGATCTAAGTCGGAAGACCGAACAAATTGATTATATACCAGCATAGACCGCAAGCAAATCCAAACAGTTTCAGCAGGATGTATTTGCGTAATTCCTTGAATTCCAATGTTGGTGGAAACGTCTGCAAATTATTTTCCTAAGCGACCAAACCAGCCTGTTGCGACTAGGAGACAGATCAGTTCAGCAACTATACATGTGGAGGCAGCAACTAGCTGGATCATGTCGCAAAATTGTACGGATAACGTGGATATTGCTCTGAGTAACGTGACCCATCATATAGTTGCAGATGATGTGGATACTCACCCAGGGGTCACCCAGGAGAGAATTCAGAGTGCTTCTGGTAGCAAGCCACGGATATCCATGGATGCTTTGAGATAGACAAAGAGACGCAGATGTTTTCCCCTGACCAGCTTGATCCGGTTTGTTTTCTCAACTATTCCTGAGGATCCTTCAGTGGAGGCCCTTATGGAGGAGGAGAGCACAGCGGCGATGCTGTGATGCTGGCGTGAAAAACGGGGTCCACGCATCACCCACTCCATAGGATCATGTAGGCCATTAATATGACCATGTATGACCTATATAATTACATGGTCTACAGTCTTAGGTCATACATGGTCTACAGTCCCATTTCAAGCACCCCGTTTGGTTGCTTTGTCTTCCATACCTGGAGTCTAACGGGGGATCCTCGGTGTGACCCTAAGCGATGACGTCGGTGACTTTGATTTGGAAATACAGAAAGCCCCAAGCTGTCCCTCAACTGCTATATCATCATATCATGTCATATCATGTCATGTCATATCATATCATATCATATCATATCATCATCTCTAAACAGGCAGACCCCCAAAGATGTTGAAGAGCAAGCACGGGCCAAAGTTCCTTGGTTTGGGGGTGTCCCTAGACACAGATGCACCGACCAGTGAACTGGTCAAAAGACACTGACCGACCAAAGCCCGACCAGTGAACTGGTGGGTGGACGACCAGGAAGCTGTGGAGCTGCTGGCATCCTCAAATGGAGGTGCCGCTGATCCATAAGGATCGCTCATGATGACCGTGAAGCCATGATGAGAACGGTTCATGGGGTTGATGCTTGGTTCATCCGAGTCGAGGATGTTTGTTCATTGTGAACTCATCAAGGAACATCAAAGTTGCTTGTTGACACCTGTTTGCCTAGGGATTGGGACAAGTCTTTGATACTACCACTTTGAAGGCCATTCTAGTCTTCTTAGGCTGTGTTTCTCAGTAGGCCGTTTGCAAGCTGTCCCGCCAGTGTATTGGGCCCGGAGGATTCCTGATGGTCTTAATTTTGGAGGTGAAGCTTGCAACCCAGAGTGTCAACGGGGAAACTATGATATCATGGCGAGAGGTGGGCTGAGGGTACTGAGCTGGAATATGTTGAGAACAAGAACTGCCACCCAATATGTTTATCTAAGTTGCATATTATAGAGGCTGTTGCATGCTGTTGCTGTTGCTGCTGCTGTTACATGTAGCCTTGACATCCTGAACTGGTGTGTGATAGTACAACCTGTTTGAGACATCATCCTTTGCTCCTCTCATCTGAAACCAGGTGCCTGGCCAGAAAGGAACTCAAAGCCGGGAGCACAGGAGCGCAGCGTCACGGATCCATCCAGCTCGGGGTGGCGGGTCACGAGGTCCCGGGTTGAAGCCCACCGAAGGACCGAAGACGTGCAGAAGGCATTCCAGTCATTGGACCTTCAAAGAGGGGTACCTGAAGAGGACCCCTAGACTGTACCGGTGTGCCAGGTGCAAGACGCTTGAACTGGGACGATGAGTCTGTCTAGCTGGTGGAATGGTTCATTCCAGGTCCCTTTGGTTCATTCCACGCCTCCAGGAGTTCATTCCACACGCCGCAGTGTCCAGGTGTCCAGTGTCCAGGTGTCCAGGTGTCCGGTGCGAACCGCGCCCACCGGAAGGGTGCACGGGTAGTTTCCACAAGACAGGGAGATCATGGGGACATGAAATTGGTCCCATGGACTGGTCCCATGGACTTAACTACTTGAAGGACAGTTGGATTCGTTTCCCCCCAGCGGTTTTGGGGATTCCTGGCTCACCACGTGTTTGTTACGGCATGAGCTTTCACTATCTTTCACTCCAGGCATTACAGTGTATGTTCGTCCAGAACAACATAGAACAACTCCTGGCAATGTTCGTCCGCTCCGAAGACTCAAAGACGTGAACCGACTAAGGGTCCTTGAGAGCCAAAGACTCCATGTGCGGAAGATTGGACCTTGAGCCCTTTCAACCAACTGGTCGGTGAGGATGCCAGCCCCTTTGGATTCCAGTTTTTGGGCGGGCTGGAAGATTATTTGTTAACTATTTAGCTGGGTGCTATATTTAGCTGGGCTGGAAGAATATTTAGCTGGGTGCTATATTTATCCTGCTGTACAGTTGACTTTGATGCAGGACTAGGTTGGTAGAGGACCCTCTTTCACGAGTTCTTCCGCCTTTCTTTTTGGCCAAGGCCAGATCCATTTTGTCCTCGGCAGGTGCGGGTCCCTCAAGCCGCCGCGCGCGGTGGAATTGTTGAGGCAATCCTTAAAGGAGTTTGCGTGGAATGTTCCACAGAGAACATAGTTGAGGCTACAAATTCCCAGCAAATTCCCAGGAATTGTCCAAGTCAGACGCTTTTCCTCAAGAAGTCTTGCCGCGAACCCCATCCCCCCCAGGCCCATCTCACTCGATCCTCCCAGCCAGGAGCCCCAACTACGAGGCTGACGGGTCGACGACTCGGGCGCCTCCCGGCGCTTCCGGAAAGCTTTCAGATGAAAGTCCTCTCTATGGGACGAGTTGTTTGAAATTCATCATCCATGGAAGCTCAGCCCATGATTGTAGCATCTCGATGCTATGTGAGACAGCCGTGAAAAGAGGTAGTTTAGTATGTTTAGTCGTTGGTTGCCAGATGAGTGTGAATGTTTTGGGATGGACTGTTGCCCAAATATTCCAAACACCATGCTTGATGGGGTTGTTCAGTCCATGTTCACGCAACAACACAATTGTAGTGTCGGGTATTGGGAGGTTCGGGGGCTCGCCATTCGAGACAATATTGATAACCCACTTTTGATAACCCATCACACGGATCAAACGGAAACCAGTCTGTTTCCGTGAGATTGAATGAGTGCTTCCTCGGATGGAGCAGCTAGTCCGGATTGGAACTACCTATAAGATATGGCTGTGGGTCAAGACCCCGGTACTTTGGTTGACCCCTGACCACACACTAGCTCAACATCTATCAACAGCACTGTAAATACCACGCAAATGTTTGACAAAAACTGCTCTGAGACCCAGGCGAAACGCATATGTTCCTATCTTCCTGTGCCAAAATTCTATGTGCAATGTCAATGTGTAAAATCAATGATAGGCATTATTAGTTTGACCCGTCTTTGTTCAATATCAATAACAGCCTGGTAAATTGTATTCATTTGTTCTCAATATCGGTCAACGCTGTTTGGTTGCCTTCAATTTGTTTTCTGGTTTTGCATTCAAATTTGTCTCAAACATTGGTTTTTATGGTTGCCCAACCTTCCAAGTTTCACAGCAGCTTCTATTTTGCTGCTCATCCTGGTAGCACTAGGGGTTCTCACAGGAAGGCTCAAGGCCGGGCTCTTGCAGAGGTCGCGTCCGGCGAATCCGCTGCTATTTGAATTCGATATCTTCGAAGTGCAGTTCGACGGACAAGGCTCGCTGAAATTGGTGGGCTGGCACAGGTGCTCTTCTCAATTGCGGTCTTTGTGGTGCCGAGCGAAAGCTGTTTTTTGGGCCTTTCAATGTTGTCTTTGGAAGTGCTTTTGCTGCCCAACGCCCTGGCAGGGCTGCGCAATGTGAATCTTCATGCACAGGTTTCGCGGCAGGCGCAGCACTTTGTGGACCTGGGAGGCGCAGTAATTACTTTGCAGACCTTGAGGTGCAGATTTCGCCGCACGCGCAGCGCTTTGTGAACCTTGAAGCGAAGATTTCATCACGGGCGCGGCACATAACTGAAACTTATAGACTTGAACATAGAGCTGGAAAAAACAATTTCCTTATAGAACTGAAGATCTAGGGCCCTTTTTCTCATGCCTGGCAAGTTCCAAAGGTTTGTTCTGACCTGCCGCCCAGGTTTAAGGACAGATGGTAGTGTTGGGGGACTAGAATGGCCTGATACGGGCTTAGATCTCTTGCCCTGTGCCCCAAGACCTGTGCTCTAAGAGCCACCAAGATTCACCAAGCTGGAAGCTTATGGAAATCCAGCGGTTGGGATGGCTTGGGAAGCTGCCAGCTCATGGCAGAGGCTTCAATTCTATAAGGGCTTGTGGCTTTGACAACTAAATGGTCAATTCTATAGAGGTTGTTTTGGGGTGCAGGAGGATCATTCAAGGTGATTCTGGGCTGGCAGGAGCTGACAGTCAAGACCAACTGAACTGAACCCTTTTAGAATTGAGCATTTTCTCATGGTTGGGGCAGCGCAGCAAAAACGCTGTGTGATTGGAGAACAAAAGCCAGGAGCAGGGGGGGAGAAAGAGAGAGAGAGAGAGAGCGCGAGCGAGAGAAAGAGAGAGAGAGAGAGAGAGCGAGAGTGAGAGTGAGAGAGAGAGGAGAGAGAGAGAGAGAGAGAGACAGAGACAGAGACAGAGAGAGAGAGACAGAGAGACAGAGAGAGAGAGAGAGAGATAGAGAGAGAGAGATAGAGAGAGATGGAGAGAGAGAGAGAGAAAGAGAGAGAGAGAAGAGAGAGAAAGAAAGACAGAAAGAGAGAAAGAAAGAGAGAGCGAGAGCGAGGGAGCGAGAGAGAGAGAGAGAGGGAGAGAGAGAGAGAGAGCGAGAGAGAGAGAGAGAGCGAGAGAGAGGGAGAGAGAGAGAGAGGGAGAAGGAGAGAGAGAGAGAGAGAAGTCACAACAAGAGCTTCCATAGAGTTGAAGTGCCTGACATCTGCAAGAGCCCTGCCCTACAAGATATAGACTCTATAGCTGCCAATGGTGCAGTGGTCGGTGTGTGGCACTATGTTGGCAGGCTGGACTTGGGCCCTGGTGTGAGTGATTGGGTGCCTATGACTGAAGATGGTGAGTGCATGGCCACCTCAAAGATTGGTAGAGGTGGCCTGTACATTGGACTCAGGGTAGGTGGAAGGAGAGTCCAATTCCATAGGCAGCTCATACAGGACAGATGGGCAGAAAGCTAGGCAGCTAGGCCCAAGGGGAAGAAGTGCACCACAAAGATGGTGACGCCCACTCAAAATCTACTCTAAGATTCTGGCAGTTGGGGCAAACCGCTTTTCTTGTGCGCCATACGCCAGCATGGTCGCCTTTACTGAGGTAGTTCGGGCGACGACACACATTTTGTGGTCATTTTCGACTAAGCCTAAGTCTACCGACCACTGCATCCATCGGTTGATCATAGTCATGGCGTGGACAGCATTCTGCGTGAGAAAGGACCTGTCATCAACAAAAGTAATCATGTTGACATGTTCACCATCCTGCGCAGCTTGACGGCGGAGGTCAAGAGTCGACATACTGAGAATGGCAAGAAGCGCAAGGGAGTGGCACTAATACACCCTCTATATTGCAAATATCGGATCTGTTGGTCCCAAACGTGCTGGCATGCAAAAGTCATTGGCTCTGGCATGCCTAATTTTTGCAAACACTTCAGTGCGAGAGGCACGGAGACATGATTTCTTCAGTGAATCTGCAAAAGGACAGTTTCACTCTTCGCACATGCACTTTCAAGCTTGGCAACAGTCGTGACAGTGTGTACACTTTTGAAGGCCAAGTGCCATGACGCAATGACAGGCACAGGCGTCACGGAGCCCTTTCCATGGGGCGCAGCTCCTTTTAAAGGAACAGCTTGTTTTCCCTTCCCTCATCTTATCCATTAAAGAGGTCTATGGTGAATCTTTTATGCAACTCATAATCAATCGGGGCGCGACGATGCTAGTTTAATATGGCTCCTTTTAGTCCGCTCTATTATTGTCAGGGGATCACATCAAATGTGATTCGGTCGTGAGGCACATGCGGTGTGGTTAGTTGCAATCCACATACCTTGAACGTGCATATCACATCAAGCAGATCCTCAGATTACTGCCGGTGTGGGTGGGCGGACCGAAATCAGATCTAGCGCGAGGTTTTTTAAAACCCGCCCTCCCACCACTTGATCATAAAGTAGCCGGGAACATAAGGATTCGAGACCGAATGTGAATGAATCAGCAACGGTTTTGCTAAATCATTTTCTCTTCTTTTCCGTCATAGACCGCTCCTTTGGTATATGTGTATATACCCAAAGGGAGCTACTTTT